TGTGTGTGTGTGTGTGTGTGTGTGTGTGTGTGTGTCCTGGGGCCAGCTGACCCTGGTGCTGGGCACGGGGAGAGTGGGGAGGGAGGCGGGGGTGTCTGGGCCCAGCTGGGGCAAGCAGGAAGCGGCCACAGGGGGGCAGGCGTCTGCAGAGAGGCAGTGGGGCCTGCGTCCAGCCCAGCCTGGATCCTGCTGCGGTCACTTCTCTGGGGACCTCAGTGGCCCCATCTGCCAGTGGAGACCACACCCCCAGGCGCCCCTCCTGTGGCGGCAGTTGTGACGGGGCATGAACGTCCAGTGCGCGTAGACGTGTGCAGCACACAGGTGCCGAGGCCAGGGCAGAGCAAGGATGGCGTGTGCCTCTGGGGCCGAGCCCTCTGCCCCTGCTCCCCTCCCCCCCCACCGGCCCGCCAGCATCTTCTGTCTTCATCCCCCTTCCCTCCCACGGCCCCTCTGAGGCCCCTTCCCTGTCTCCTCTGGAGCAGCCCACCCGGGTCACCTCCCAGCACCGTGTCTGTCCTGAGCCCCCTGCGGCCTGGTGCTGCCCTCCTGCCCTTGCGCGTGGGACACCCCCCTGGGCTCCCAGGCCCCCACCGCCCCTTCACCCTTCCTGTCTGCTCCCCACAGGGCAGCCCATCCCTTTCCACCATCATTTGCCGGGAGCCTGCGGTCCGTTCCCACAGCCACCGGCCTTCAAGTCCCAGGGCAGCTCGGTCCCTGCCGGCCTCAGAGCACCTGGGGACACGGCCCGGTCCTGGGTCGTGGTGACCCCAGGGGTCTGTTAGAGAGGGTCCTCCACACCGTGTCCGGGCAGCAGCAGACCCAGAAAGACCGTCCACATGCACTAAATAAGCGGGGTGCTGGGGAGTCGGGGGGGCCCCACGTGGAACTGCTTTCTCACAGGGCCGTGTGGGACAGTCGGTACAGCTCACAGGGGCGAGTGGGGGTGGAGGGCTCGTGGGACCGGGAGATGCGCTAGGGCACTGATGCATGACGGGAGGCGCAGGAGGGAAAGCTTCTGGCCTGGGGGGTCTCCAGTGTCTGCTCCTCGCTGCCCCCAGGCTCCCGGCCATGCCCCCCCACCCCCCACCCTGGGCTGTGTGTGGAGGGACTGGAAGAAGCAGGTACTCCTGGTAGGCAGGTGGGGGAAGGAGGCTGCTGGCATCCAGACCTGCCTGGGGCAGGCAAGACCATGGCCCCCGGCCCCCCCTTCGCAAGGCTGGAGCACAGCGGGCCGGCAGGGAGAGGCCCGATGGATAAGCCTGTGTTTCTGCAGAGATTGGGGCAGGAAGGTGGGCGAGGCGGGGCACCAGCCAGCAGGCTTCCCGCCCCAGGGGCCGCCGGGGTGCCCACAGTGCCCTCTGCTGGTGGGAACGGGAGGCTGGGCCTCCCTCCTGGGGCTTGGCCTCCCCCGGCTTGGCCACCCACCCCAGCCAGTCCGAGCCCACCGTCACCTGGGTGTCCCCAGAACAGGGCTGGCCTCGGAATTGTTTTTTTCCTTTTCATTCTTCGATGGCAGGCACAGGCCGAAGGGGCGGGAAGGGAGGGGCCCCTGCTAAGGGGGTGGGAGCGCTGGCCCCGATGACCAATGACTGCACCTGTGCCTCACCCAGCCCCAGAGGTGGGCACCAGGGTGCGCCACCACAGAGCTCGAGCTGTGGGGGCCTGTCTGGGTTTGCGCTTCCTGGGAGGGTTGGCCCCTCACTCCCGCATCAGAGGAGACACCCAGAGAGGGTCACAGGTGGGGCGGAGTTATAAGCACCTCTGGGTGACCTCTGCCAAGCCAGCCTCCTAGGGGCCTGCCCACGAGGGGGGTCCTGGGGGGCTGGGGGACCGGCTGGGCCAGCCCCTCTGCAACCCAGTCCCCCAGCCAGGCCCCCGCACCTCATCCGAGGAGTGGGTCACCAACCTGATGCACCCCAGACCCGGATCAGAGCCACCTGCCACGCCAGACTCCCCAAGTCCAAGTGTGGACAGTATCCTGTGCACCCTGGGGGAGGCAGCCCCCAAGCACCTTGTCTGCAGCCAGTCCAGAGTGAGGCTGGCAGGCCCTCCCAGGGAAGGGCCAAGCCCTGAGGCTCCCGCACATTCAGCCGGGTCTCTGCTCCCAGGGCGGAAACAACGCGGGCCACACGGTGGTGGCGGACGGCAGGGAGTACGACTTCCACCTGCTGCCCAGCGGCATCATCAACACCAAGGCCGTGTCCTTCATCGGTGAGTGTCCGCCGTGCCCAGCCGCCAGCCTGGGGTCCCGAGTGTGCCGGCAAGCTGGGCCCGGGGTGCCACGTGGGGCTGGGCCAGACGGAGAGGGGGCGGCGGGAGGCCCGTCCAGGCCGCAGGGACCAGCACGTTTGCGACTGTGGGCGTGAACGTGAGCGTCTGCACGCCTGCACGTGTGTGAGTGAGAGCAAGTGTGCCGTGTGGATGGGGACGTGCACGTGTGCAGGCAAGCGTGTGTGCGCGTTCGTGGAGGCCCAGCCTCCTCACCACCCGCTCCCCACAGCACGGCTCGCCCTCAGGGCCGGGACCTTCGCGGCCCTTCCAGGACTGTGGGGTCTCCCGCTCTGTGTCTCTTTGTCTCTGTCTGCCTCTCTTTCTCTCCCCTCCCTCCCGGCCACTGGGCTGGACTGCCTGTCCTGCCCTTAGCTCTTAGCCTGAGCCCCCCTGCCCGGGCCAGGCCCCCGGGACGCCCTCCCACGGTGTCCAGGACTTTTCCTCCGGCTCCTTCCACGACTTAGCAGGACCTCACTGGTGACGTATCCGCCCCTCCCCGGTTGGGAAGTGAAGTCTGCAGCTGCGTGTGAGCCCAGTGAGGGCACGGTGTCGGGGAAAAGAAGGAACGTGTGGGCTGAGGGGCCGTGTGTGGTCACGCGAAGCTGGGCAGAGCAGAGGGCTGCAGGAGTGCAGACTCGGGTGCCCTGCAGGGGCCGAGGACAGCCCGGGGACAACCCGCAGGCTGAGGCCCTGCTGCAGCCAGGCCCCGGGCCCCACTTGGCGGGAAGCAAGGCCAAGGAGGCACTGCTTCATCGGAGGAGCTCTGCCTGCCGCTGAGGAGCTGGGGCGGGCGGGGGCCGGCAGCCGGAGCCCAGGCTGGGTGGTCACCGGGCAGCACGGCAGGGCTCAGCCCAGCCACCGGCGTGCTTGGGCAGGGGCAGAACGTGCCAGAGCTCACACAGCTGCCCCTCAGCTTGCGACATTGCCTGGGCCCCTGCCACGTGGCCATCTCAGGACGCCGTGGCATTTAGGTGACCTTTTGTACTGGGCACGGACCGCATAGTCTCGGAGCCACTCCCATCTGGACCTGTGTCCCATCTCCCTTGGCCGAGCCTGTGCCACCGCCAGCCCTGGCGGGGACCGGGCCAGGAGGGGTTCCTCATAGGAAGGCAGCAGGTGCCCCAGCCCCACTGCCTCTGGTCTAAGAGGAAAGGGCTTGCGTTTCACATGGGACCCCACACCAACGCGCCATGTGACCTGGGGCCAGCCACCTTCCTACTCTGGGCCTCGGTCCCTGCCCGTGTAAAGCATGTATGTGGATCCCACTCCAGCGTCGTATGGCTAGGGAAGGCTCGGCTCCCCAGAGGCCCCAGTCGGGTCCGGGCACGGCTGGGGCTGCATTTCTCCCGCTTTTCCGCTGCTCAAATCAACCGCAGCAGCTTTACTGAAGTGTAATTTACGTGCTGTGAAATTCGCCACAATCGCGCAGCCGCCACCACAACTCAGCCCTAGGACACTGTCATCACTCCAAGAGGCTCCCTCAGGCCTCTGGCTGGAGCCCTGCCCCTGCCGCAGCGACCACCAAACGCTGTCCGGCCCTGTAAACGCTCCGTGCTGGCTTTTGTCTTGTTCGGGCCCTGTCGTCTCTACCGTGATAAACACGTAGAACGTAAGCTTCCCCTCTTGGCCACCTTCAGGCACAGGGCTCAGCACACGAAGCACGTGTACACTGTAGCGCACCCACCGCCATGGTCCGTTTCCAGGACTTTCCATCTTCCCAGCCTGAGGCTCTGTCCCCATTAAACATTCACCCCCAGCCCCTGGCACCCCCTTTCACTTTCTGTCTCTGCGAATCTGACTCCTCTGGGGACCTCGTGTGAGTGGCCACACTGTGTGGGTCCTTTGGGGACTGGGCTGTTGCACTCGGCGTCGTGTCCCCGCGGTCCGCGTGCTGTAGCAGGTCCGAACGTCCTCCCTTTGTACGGCTGCGCAGGCTCCCAGCGTGGCCAGAGCCCAGTCGGCTTCCCGCTCACCACGTCCGGGGCCCGGCTTCGCAAACACGGCCGCTGGGAGCGTGAGCGTGCACGCTTGATGACGCGGTCACCGCACTTGCCGTGAGCGCGCACGCTTGATGACGCCCTCACCCCACTTGCCGTGAGCGCGCACGCTTGATGACGCTCTCGCCGAATTCGCCAGGGTCTGCCATTCAATCCAGTTTCCTGTCGTGTGTTGCAGGCAATGGGGTGGTCGTCCACTTACCCGGCTTGTTTGAAGAAGCAGAAAAGAATGAGAAGAAAGGTGGGTCCGCGTCCCCACGCGCTGACCCTGGCCCGGCTCTGGGGTGGGGGGGCTCCCCGACTCGGCCGGGCCCCCACCCGCCTCCTGCTGGCCTTGCCCCTGCAGAAAGCCGGACTTCGCTCCAGGACGCACAGAGCAGGGCGGCCTAAGGCCCCAAATTGGCTGTGGGTCCCAGTGTTTGTAAGGCGCTTTCACGACACGGGGGACAGGTGGCTCTGGAGCGTCACATCCAGGAAGTCAGGGAGGGGCCCTGGGACCTGGAGTTGGCTGGAGCCCCCCAGCCAGGACTGGGGAGCGCTGGGCCCGCCACGCCTGCAGGCAATGATGTGGTTTCCGGAGGCAGGAGGCAGAGAGGGGCTAGAGCGAGGCCACCGGCCAGGTGTCTGGGCAACTGCGCCCCGTGACGGTTGTCTAGAGGCCGCAGCCCTGAGACCCCGATGGGGTCCGAGGAGGAAGCGTGCCTCGGCCTCAGGGCTCGAGTTCAGGGCAGGAGCCAGAAGAGTCAACCGGAACCTGACCCTGGGCCGTGAGCAGCAAGAAGTGACAGCACGGAGGCCCCGCAGGGAGATGTGGGGGGCGTCCCGGGCGGGGCGGGAGGTTCCGGGGCCCTCGGCAGGGAGAGAGGCCAGGAGGGGAGGGCACACCCCTGGTGACCTCTGTGGACTCGCCCTGGGAGGGACCTGGGCCAGCTGCCCCTGAAGGCTGACCGCCTGCCCGGTGGCCGCAGGTCTGAAGGACTGGGAGAAAAGGCTCATCATCTCTGACCGCGCCCACCTGGGTAAGCTCCACCCACCCGCCACGTAAGCGATGACGCGGCCGCGGCCCTCCTCCCCGGGACGCTGGGCCCCGTAGCTCCACGGGGCCTTCTCGAAAACTTGAAAGTGGGCAGTGGGTGGGGGTCACTGTTCCCATTGACAGGTGGGGAAGCTGAGGCCCGAGGGACTCACGGTGACGCGTGAGTCTGGGCGGCGGCCAGATCCTAGTATGTCCCCTTTCAAACTGGACCACCTGTCCCGGGCGGCTGGGCTGGCGCAGGCGAGGCCCTTAACCCTGTGTCTGTCTCCCCCTGGGGACCCTGGCCTGGCCGGGCAGTGTTTGACTTTCACCAGGCGGTGGACGGGCTGCAGGAAGTACAGCGACAGGCGCAGGAGGGGAAGAAGTGAGTGTCTCCGGGGGGCTTTCGAGTCTGGGGGCCCTGGGGTGTGCGGAGAGGGGGCCGAGGTCCACTGGAAGCCACCGGGACCGCTGGTGCCCCGGCCCCGCCACACACACACACACACACACACACACACACACACACACGGGCCACCACTTCACCACGGCGCCCAACCCTCGCCCCACTAGTACCAACGGCTGTTTCCCTGGCCTCCAAAGATCCTCGCGAGAGTGTGCCAGCGGCTGGCTCTCAAAGTCAGGACAGGGTGAGGCAGTGGCCGTCCTGCCTCGTCACGTGGCATGCTCACTTGCCGCACGTGTGCGCGCAGGTACGCGCACGCCTACCGCGCGCGTTCACACGCAGGTACCGCAGGTGGCGGTGCTGAGCGTCCCGTCGGCCGAGCCCGGTCAGACACGCAGGGCAGCAGCCTCAGTGCCCCGCAAGAAGGAAGCTGGGGCCGAACGCAGACAGGATGTCTAAGAGCCAAGGCCTGGGACGAGGGGAGGGTTAGGGCTGGCCCAGGACCACCTTCCAGGGCCCCAGCCCCTCCCCCCACCCCCATCCTGGAGAGGCGGCCCCAGACTCCAGGTGCTACTGCTGGGAAGCGCCCTTCCCAACTCTACCCTTTTTGTAGGGGTGCAAACCGGGGTCTAGGGGTGCCGGCCCGGGGCCCTGAGCGTCCGGGCTTCTCCCGGGCCCCCAGCAGGCTGCGGGGCCGGGCTCCCTGTGTTCACGGCTGCCCCATCTTCCAGTATCGGCACCACCAGGAAGGGGATCGGACCTGCCTACTCTTCCAAAGCGGCCCGCACGGGCCTCCGCATCTGTGACCTGCTGTCGGACTTTGATGAATTTTCTGCCAGGTACCCAGCCGTCCGCAGCCCAAGGGGGGGGGGACCGTGGCTAGTGAGGAGGGGCGTGGACACCCAGGCGGGGCGAGGGGTCGCAGTCACTGTCACCCCTGCAGATTCAAGAACCTGGCTCACCAGCACCGGTCCATGTTCCCCACCCTGGAAGTGGATGTTGAAGGTCAACTCAAAAGGCTCAAGGTAGAGCAGGGACCCCTGGCACGGCGGGCAGCCTGCCAGAGGCGCGACGCCCTGTCCGACGTTCACGGAACGCTCGCAGGGCATGCTGTCACAGGGCATTCTTACGGGGCGGCTGGCCTTCTTAGGGACCTCGGGCCAGCCAGGTCAGGAGGGTCCCCTCGGGAGGCCAGGGGATGCTTGGGCCCCTTGCTTTCCCACAGGGCAAGTTTCCCAGGATGCACTGGAGAAAGAGGCTGTCCCCGTCCTATTTGGGGCATGAGGTATAGGGGGCCTTGCTGACTCACAGAGGGGCAGCATGGGGTCAGGGACAGGATGAGGGGAGCACAGAGCCCTTCCAGAAGTTTCCAAGGCTGGGATCTTGGCTCCTTCCAGTCCTTGCTGGAGGCTGTGAATGAGGACAGGGACAAACCGATGAGGATGCCAGTCATGTTGGATTAGGGCCCACCACAGTGACCTCAACGTAATCTCCTCTTTAGAGGCCTGTTTCCAAACGCAGTCACATTCCGAGGGGCCGGGGGCCAGGACTCGGACAGATTAACTGGGGGGACACAGTTCAGCCCATGACAGCAGGAAGAGGCTCGTGAGAGTCGCAGATAAGACTCAGGTGGGGCCAGGGGCTGTTCCAGGTCTGGGGACAGGTTGGCAGGTCAGGACCCTCGCGGGAAAGGAATGTACTGGAAGGATCGGGCTGTCAGATGGGGCTGGAGCTGGACGGACGTGGCCTGGCCCCCTGCAGCCTCCCTCTGCCTCCCCCCACAGGGCTTTGCTGAGCGGATCCGACCCATGGTCCGAGACGGCGTCTACTTTATGTACGAGGCACTCCACGGCACCCCCAAAAAGATCCTCGTGGAAGGTGCCAACGCAGCCCTCCTTGACATTGATTTCGGTAGGTCCCCAGCCCAGCTGCTCCCAGCGGACCTCCTTTCGTGCCTGCTGGGGACCAGGCTGGCCACTGACGGGACGGGGAGGGGCTCCCCTTGACGATGATCACGCTGCACCCCCCCGCCCCAGTCTTCCTGCTTCAGCTGGGAGGGGGAAGAGGGAGAGACGATGTAGAAGGAAGGGAGAGTGTCCGGAGCTGGGCCCAGGGCTCCCCGCAAGGCTGGGTACAGCCGGTGCTCCCGGCTGTGTGGGCCCCCTGTACATCCTGTCCTGACCCCGTGGCCGCACCCGAGCCGAGGCCACCTGGTACAGCAGGGGAGGCCCCCACCATCCAAGCTGGGAGCAGCCTTCTTCCTCTGTTCACCCCCAGACTCCTACTTGAGCCACAGCGGCCTGACTCACAGTGCCCTTGCAGGCAGCTCCCCCAGGTTGGTCCCTGAGACCACCGGCCCTGGAGACCCCACCAAGGGGACTTAGGGGAGGCTGAATCACCCGCTGTCCTCTGCCAAGAGGCAGCCCCGGGCCGGGGTGACCTGCAGGGGCGGTGGACACCCCCCGTCCGGTTCTGTCTTGCAGGGACCTACCCTTTTGTGACATCATCCAACTGCACCGTGGGCGGCGTGTGCACGGGCCTGGGCATCCCGCCACAGAACATAGGCGAGGTCTATGGCGTGGTGAAGGCCTACACCACACGCGTGGGCATCGGCGCCTTCCCCACCGAGCAGATCAACGTGAGTCCCCAGCCCCCGCGGGGCCTCAGCAGGGGGACACACGCGGCACGGGGCGCTCAGCGGCGGGGCGGGCAGGGCCGCGCAGGGCAAGGGCAGAGGCAGGCAGAGACGAGCGCACAGAAGGCTGCACACTACAGCGGCCTCGCACCGCGGAAGCTCAAGCCGACCGTGTCCCCGGGACGCACTGCAAGCACGCGGGGGGCCTCAGCCCCCCTCAGGGTGCCCCGTGTGGTGCAGCTCAGGGACCGTCAGGAAAACACTGGCCTTTTCTCAGCACGGCCCTGTGCCCTTGGCAGCGAGGGCACAGGCTCTTGTCCCGAGCAGGTGCGTGTGAAGACCGGCGTCGGGAGGGAAGGGTGCCACGTCCAGGAGTAGCCAGGGCTCTCACGGGGCAGGGGGAGCAGGGACAGGGATGGGGATCTTGCCCAGAAATAAACCTTGCCCCTGGCGCAAAGCTACAGGGCCAGCTCCCCCTCTGTCCCCGCGGGCCATCGGGGGGGACAAGAGGCTGCCCTGCTCCCCACCCGCGTGTTCAGGAGGCATTGAGAACACAACCCCACTGGTCGGCAAGGCCCGATCAGGGGAGCCTTAGCTGCAGACACACCTGCCAGGGATGTGAGAACGTGGGAACAACAGGAGAAGCCAGGTGTGAGGAAGGGTTTGTCAAGGGGTGTGATTTCAAGCATTCCCCTGAGGGAAGAGGGAGGGGAGGAGGGAGAGAGGAGGAGGGAGAAAGGAGAGGAAGAAGAGGAGGGAGAGAGATGGGAGAGGAGGAGGGAGAGGAGGGGAGAGAGGAGGGAGAGGAAGGAGGGGGGAGGGGGGAGGAGGGAGGAGAAGGAGAAGGGAAAGAGAAGGAGGGAGAGGGAGGAGAGACAGAGGAAGAGGGGGAGGAGAGGGAAAGGAGAGGGAGAGGAGGGAGAGAGGAGGGGAAGGAGGAGGGAGAGAGAAGGAGGGAGAGGGCGAAGAGGGAGAGGAGGAGGGAGAAGGAAGAAGAGGAGGGGAGAAGAGGGGAGGAGGCGGCAGCAGAGAGAGGTGTTGAGCACAGAGGCAGCCAAGTGCGGGCTCCCTTTAGTGGCGCCATGGACCCGCTCTGTTTTCACGCAGGAAATTGGGGACCTGCTACAGAGCCGTGGCCACGAGTGGGGGGTGACCACGGGCAGGAAGAGGCGCTGTGGCTGGTTGGACCTGATGATTCTGCGATACGCGCACATGGTCAACGGCTTTACCGCGTGAGCAGCCCTTCCCGCCTGTTTGTTGCCACAGGGTGTCCCCTTCCCCACGGGGAGGCCGCAGTGGGGGTGACAGGGAGGCCCCCCCCGGGAGGCCCCCCCTCCCGGCACGTCAGAGCCGGCTGAGCACGTGCGCAGCAGGTTACGCCAGCGCACGGGGGCGCACGAGGCCGTCCTCACGGGCACAGTGGGGGCCGGCCTGGGCCTGGCTGGACTCAAGTCAGCACCTCCGTTAGGTCTGTAGGTTTGGGTCGGGCCGTGGGAGGGGGCCACCGTCCCCAACTAGGACCTAGTGCCAAAGCGGCTGCGCTCTGAGCGCCGAGGGGCTGAGACACAGAAGCGTGGAAGACAGGGTGTCTGCGCCGGGCACAGAGGCCACCATGGACTCACAAGCACGGGGCGACCCACCTGCGAGCCTTCTCGGCCCGCTCCGTGAGGGAGGGAGGGAGGAGGGAAACACGGAGGAAACAGGATGGAGCCCGGGGCCCAGGGCCCGTGCCGGAAAGAGCTGGCACCCGGGGAGGCCGCCAGTCCCTGGGGTCATGGGGCAGCTGTCCGCAGAGAAGCACTTAGGCGGAGCCATGACGGAGGGCAAATAGGGCAAGAGTGACCAGAACGGGGTCCCGGGGGGGGCCCTCGAGGTGAGCAGAGCGAGGATGGACACAAGCCCCACTCCCTAGCCTGTCTGCACCGCGTTTTCCTGGGACCACCTCATCTTTGTAGAGAAGCAAGGGGCACGGACGAACGGAACGGCTTCTCCAGCGTGCCTCGGTCTGTTGGCTTTTGGACAGGCTGGCCTTAACAAAGCTGGACATCCTGGATGCCCTGGACGAGGTCAAAGTCGGTGTCTCGTACAAGCTGAACGGGAAGAGGATCCCCTATTTCCCAGGTACCGGAAAGATCCGAGGCAGGAAGAAGCTGGAGCAGGGGAGGGTCTGCACGTCAAACGTGCAGAGTGAGCACCTGTCTCCGGAGCCGGCCAGTCCTGGGCGGGCGGCTGCCAGTCACAGGTTCTCACCCCGGGGGAGGCCTGGCCCCAGGAGAGGGTTGACAGGTGGGAGCCAATCCCGCTGGCCCCAGCCCCCGGGGACACTGAGGCACTGGCTGCCGAGGCCCAGCTCCCGGGAGCACTGGAAGCTCCCGAGCAGCCGGTGTGGCCGGCTCTGTGCAAACACAATGCGGACTCTTCTACCCAGGAAAACACGGTTTTCGGTCAGACCAGTTAACACCTGATGGGTTTCTGCCTCCGTGCATCCGTTCTTTTAAAAATCTTTTAAAAAGTACAAAGGGTCATGTTTTCTTGGATCTGTTACTTATGCACCTGGACGCGCCCCTGCCAGCGACTTCCTGCCTTCAGCTGGGGGTGGGGGGAGTGGCCCTCCCTCGCCTGTGCGTGTGCGCAGACCCGCCACCCACCAGTGCCGCTTGGCTGCAGGGGCTGCATGTGTCTTCTTGGCCTGTGTGCCCTGGCCCTGCTGGTCCCCGACCTTTCAGAGGGCACAGCGGGAGTGTGGTGTGAGTCCAGGGATCCAGGGCCCAGGGGAGCATGTGAATGAGGACCCTTGCAGTAGACGGCTTGTTCCAGCACCTTCTGTCAATAAGGGGTGGTTGGCATCTACTGTGAGCCACATGCCAGGAACCACACAGCTAGAGCGGGGCCCTCGCCCCGGGAACGGGACACAAGAGTTTTTCAGGAACCCTTCATGTTCAGGACCCTTAGAATTTCCGAGTGGGGTCCGTGAAGTTCCTTAGCTGAGTCACCACTGTACGTTCTGTCAGAGCACTTAGCAAACCCAAGTCTGGGTGGATGTGTCCCCCCTGGTCTGGAAGGGTTACAGCCAGTATCCTGAAACCACCCTGCAACTCTGAGAACAAACAGGGCTGCCTGCCTTCCTCGCTGCTCAGCCCCACGGCAAGCAGGCCCCTGAACGGGCAGCCTGAGACACCAGCATCTTCGGGACACGGGTCAGCCCCTACCCTTTGTTTCCCCAGCTAACCAGGATATACTGCAGAAGGTCGAGGTCGAATACGAAACACTGCCTGGGTGGAAGGCGGACACCACGGGCGCCAGGAAGTGGGAGGACCTCCCCCCGCAGGCCCAGAACTACATCCGGTTCGTGGAGAATCACGTCGGAGTGGCAGGTGGGTGCCCGAGCCCCAGCCACCACCCCGCCCTCTCCCTGCCCCAAAACCCTGGGGCTGAGCGACCCTTTTCCCTTTCAGTGAAATGGGTTGGTGTCGGCAAATCAAGAGATTCCATGATCCAGCTGTTTTAGACAAGCAGCGCTGACCCCGGCAGGCCGCAGCGTCCCCTCCGGCATCATCAGCCACAAAAGCAGCGCCGTAAACTAAGAGATATGGAAACCATTTTCTGTACTTTTGTATTTCTCTCCAAGCCTTCAGCTCAACCACTGATGTCTACAGTGACTCAAACATCTGACAGCCAGGGCTGTGGACAGTTGTTGTTTTTTTTTAAATCCTGCTATTTAAAATGAGCCCAAGTACTCAAAACAGAGAACTTTTATGGCACGTTAATTGTCACGTGGCTGTATGGCCGGTTGGAGCTCAGCAATAAACAAATCGAGTAGCCACTGCATGGTAGTGGTCGGTACACGTCTTGTCCGTCTCTTCGTTTTGACTTTCAAACTCCAAAAGGTGCTGCTAATGCTTTGCTGTGACGACAGTCTGGGGGGGGGGGGGTGCCGCAGGTCTCCGGTGTCATGAAGCCAAGCCGTTTGCTTGCTTAGACGGCAAACTGGAGGGAGCCCGTGTAGGAGAGCCTGCAGCCATTCGATGTTTCGCTAACGGGGGCAGTTAAAGGACCATCCTCTTGGTCTGGGAGCCCTCCCTGCCCGGGCGGAGGGAGGCCACCAGCAGGCCCCTCTTCACGTCACTTGCAACCACCTGCCCCCATTCCTCGAAATGTCAGTGGAATAAGTCGCTTTTTAAGTTGATTTGTTTTGAGACAGCGCGAGTGACCAGGGGAGGGGCAGAGAAAGAGAGAGGATCCCAGGCAGGTTCCGCACTGTCAGCACAGAGCCCGACATGGGGCTCGATTCCACAGACCGTGAGATCGTGACCTGAGCCGAAATCAAGGGTCAGACGCTTAACTGACCGCGCTGCCCAGGCGCCCCGAGTAAGTCACTTCCTCACTGGCCAGAGCTGGAACCAGCTCACTGTGGTCTCCATTGGAGGCTGAGTAGCGTCCTCAAACAACTCTCCAGAATTGGGGGTAAATTCAGAAAAATAACCGCCCTTTCAATATCACTTTGGAGAGAAGGAATTCAGTGGGGAGACCCATCATCGGTCGGGGTCAAATCCTGGCTCTGCCACACTGCCACTGTCATCTGGGCTCACCGAAATGGGCCAAGTGGCCACGGTGCTTGCTTCCCAGGGACCACACTGGTCCAGGAAGGGGCCGCGGGCTGCAGTGTGGCTGGCTCACCCCTCAGAGATGCTAACCGTGTGGCGGCATCTTCAGTGCGCCCGTTCTGAGACTCCTGCGGTTTCAGGCACGCTCGCAGACCGCTCCACACGGTGCCCAGAACAGTGTCCAGTGATCTGAAAGAAAGCCAGGAAAACGGGTTCCGACCAGCTTCCCTGGGCCTCCAGTCCCCAAGCAGCACAGCCGCTTGAAGGCAGAGGTGAGGAACACAGCAGAAACCGCTCTTTGAGTTTCCTGAGAATCATCTCCTTCCATGATGCGGCAAGAAGGACCAAAGAGCCCGGAGGCAGGGGTGGGTTCTTCGGGGAAGTGGAGCCACCCTCTCAGCCACGCTGGACCCCACACTCCTCCCTGCCCCCTGGGAGCACGCTTCTCCACGTGAGGTGACCGTCCGGCAGCGTTTTGCCGCAACAGAGAAATGCATGCCCTTGTCAGTCAAGCGGAGTAGACGTTTTTCAGAAGAAAGAGAAATCATTTCATTCTACACGAAAAGCTCCAAGCCTGGCTTTGGAAGGTTAACCAGCAATTTATATTAGCTGCAAAAATGTTTTCAAATCTCCGTCTTGTAGTGGCTGCTAAATCCTTCGCTTGGACACAAACCGTTGTTGGTTTTCTTCCATCTCTGGCCAAAATCTCAAAGAGGCAGCCTCAGGCAATGTCCTCGGGTGTCTGTGGAGTTTTACAGGCTGAAAAGACCAACTTCCAGGGGCAGTGGTCCTTCCTGGCACTGACTTCCTCACTCTCACGGCCCAGGGGCAGGAGGCTCTGAGGGATGGGTTGGTACTCACAGCCCCCTTTTTCCAGCATCAGGTGTTTTGAGGGCCTGAGTAATTATAAGGTGCTCTACTTTGCACCAATAACACAGCCCCAGAATGGAGGGGGGGGGGAGGCTCACAGTGGCCTCAGCTCGATACGGGAGTAAAAGACAAATCGGTAACTGATCATGACTGATGTGCTCTTCCAAGCACTTTGAAAAGCTGCCGACTCTCTAACCTGCCACCTGGCCATTCCATCCCTGCTGACCACAATAAATGAAGAATGTTTAGAAAAAGCCTTACAGAAGGATATCCAGAGAAGCCACCTTTGTCACAGCCCAAACCTGGCATCAGCCCAGTGGCCGTGGACGGGTAAACAGACTGGCCCGTCCACACATGGGATACGACAGTAACAAAGACGGTCTCAAAGTCAGCATGCTGAGGAGCCCGACACAAACGCACCCATGCACCGGCATCTGCAGAATGAGTCTGCACGTGTCAGGTTCTAGGACTGCAACACTACCCCACGGGGACAGAAAGCAGGGCCGTGGTCTCTCCAGTCCCCTGGGCACTCGGGTTTGTTGTGACAGATGGAACTGGGCATCTATCATCTGGGTGTTCCATGCAACTTTGCCGTAAGTAAATAAATTAGCCTCCAACCTAAGTTACTAAGAGTAATACAACCACACTACCCAGCTTCGGACAGCTGAGATGCCAACTCACAATCTTGAGGCCCTGAGGCAGCCCTGATTAGACACTTGAAGGAGTACAATTCCTGCCCGCCTGTCCTCTCTGGCAGGTATGCTGCCCTCCTCATGAGAAAACAGAAAGCGTGTTCCTTCCTCAACACAATTCTGGAACATCCATTTCCAGAATGTCAACTGTAGACAGGTCCTAAAGGTGGGGTGGTGAGAGAATTGGAAAGCAGGGGGCTAAGACTCTCCAGGAGCCAAAGCATCGGTCCTCTGGCTCAAGCCTCTTATTTTTGCAAACTGTCTGGTAACAGCAGGCACGTACAACATAGTATTTGGCATCCTGACAGGTCCGGCACCTGCAGTGTGTTCCACACTGGGTCCTGAGTACACCTGGCGCCAGAGAAAATGTTCTTATCCCAGGCCTGGCGCCCGTATGATGTCCTCTGGAGAGAACAAGCAGTCCCGGCGACCTTCCGTCCTGGGGATGAAACGGCTCTCGGTTTCTTGCTGCTCCGTCCCTTTCCTTCGGGACATGCTCACAGTGCTTTCGGCTTCTCGTTCCCCAACATCCAACTTTCAGCTTATGCCATTCAGCAAAGGCTTCACATGAGCCCTGCTCCTGGCCAGCTGGGTTTCCTGGGGCATTCTGACCCGGGCAGGGCAGGTGTGCTTACCTTTGCCTCCACGGCCCCCCATGCTTCCCCTGTCGTGACATCTGCCCCACGAGGGAGGGACCCGGCTGGTTGTACTCAACGGCACTCCAAGAGCCTAGTGCAGAGCGTGGCATGTGTTATAGGCTGGACTGCATCGCCCCAAAATTCCTATGTCCGATTCCCGGTCCCTCGAAAGGTGACTGTATTGGAGACGAGGTCTTCAGGGAAGTAATTTTTCCCCAGCATTGAGATGTAACTGACATATGACACATTCTTCACCCCACGTGGCCGTTGCAGTTGCTCCGGTGAGAACACTGAAGATGGACATGACAGTACCGTTGGCTCGCCACCACGCTGCAGGGCAGACCCACCTCTGACCCACAGCTTCCGCCCCCACCCCCACCCCCACCCCCACCCCCACCCCCCGCATGGCAACCACCATCCGCTCTGCTTCAGGGAGTTTGAGGACTTCAGGCTCCTCGTATTAGTGAGATCATAGGGTATGTGTCTTTCCCTG